CAGTACATTAACACTGCACTGAGAGAGAGGGGTTAATACAGACTGACTGACTGGACACTACAGTACATTAACACTGCACTGAGAGAGAGGGGTTATAAAACAGACAGAGGTATCTTCGAGCACTGTTCTCAAAGTGTGTGAGAGGAGAGTAGGTTTCTTTATAAAACATATTTCTGGAACACGTCTATATACAGTATACACACAAAGGTACATTTTGGCATTTTGTTGTTTTTTTACACTAGTAAGAATGTATTTTCAGAGAATATAGGGCTCTGGATTCGATCAGGACGTCGAAGGGGTCTTTTTTGGTTGTTGAAGAAGTAATAGAAATGAGATTTAGGAGAGACGCGGCAGAGCCACGGATAGTTCAGGTCGGATCTGCAGCGTAAACACGGCTGTTCAAACACAGTGCCGGGCTGCTTAATCGCCCTCGTCTCCCTCTTCTCTGCGCTTAAACCCACCGTCTTTCTCTGCGCTTAACCCCGCGGTCTCCGGACTCCTCCCGCCTCACTTTTAATTAAAACTCGCTGCCCGGGCGCCCCCCACCAACACGGCCGCCGACTCCGCAGTTAAGCCCCGGTTTCGACACCCGGGTCTGGAGCCGGGTCCAAGCGAGGCCGGAGCGCTGGGTGAAGAAATCCGTCCGTGCCGGGCGAGGGTCAAGCGGGATTAGACACTCACTCCGTATTTATTTACGTATTTTCGCCGGACGAATTTGAAATGAAATTCGCACCCGGAGGTGACTGCTGGATTAAACCCGTGGCCTTTTGTTCACTGAAAACCTTTAGCCAAAATATTATTTTTAACCCAAACCCTTTTCACTGTTCTCGGCATGATATCCAACGCCATAATATTAATTGCATATTATAATTTGAATTATTTGGCCTATTTATTTCCAGGTCAAACAGGGAGTCCATTTTTGTCAGCTAATAAATTTAAGAATCATTTATAAATAATCATAATTAATTAAACACATTAGAAATATTAAATAAGTCTTTAAGCTTCAAGAAAACTGCGGTCACTTGGCAAGGAAAAACACTGTCGTCGCTCACGAACCTGGACCAGAGGAGTTTGGCCTGTCAGCGACCGCCGAACCAGCCGAACCACACGGGCCGAGTCGAACCTCGAATTCAGAAACAGACGGCTACATCATTTCTGCAGTCAGAGAAAAGGAGAGAACCAAACCACCACAATTTTACAAGACTTGTGAAGTTTTAGATGATGACAGTCTACATGTTCCACACCAACAGAAAGTACGAAATTGACTATGTAAAGGTAACAAATTAAAAAAACTTGTAAGACTTTTACCATAATATTAATAATAATAAACAAAAGCAAACGTTTTACAGTGTCATTATAATAAACTCAACAATATCACATTATTATAATAATTATTATTATTATACGTGTATTTGCCCAGTGTGGGGCAGGTTGAAGAGAAATGTTAATGTATTTTAACG